TTGTGGAACCAGGGATTGAACTCAGGCCCTTTCGCTTGCCAGGCAAGTGCTTATTCCACTGAGCCATCTCCCCGGCCCTATTGAAATATTTTGTACCTCAAAAGAAATCAACAGAATAAAAAGAAAACCCATAAATTGGGAAAACATTTTAGCTGACTGTCCCTCAAAAAACTTCTAAGACGTACAAAGAATTTTTTTAAAAATCTGGCCCCAAATTTCAAAGGTTCAATCCAAAACTGGGCATCTAAGATGAATATATACTTTTCAGATGAAGAAATACAGACGAGATCAGGCACATTCAGGGTGGTATGGCTGTAGACTCAGATGAAGAAATACAAATGGCAAATATATGAAAAAATGTTTAACATCATTGGTCATTTGAGAAATGAGAACTTTTTATTTTTTTAAAATAATCTTTATTTGGTATAAGGTTTCACTACACAGCTCAGACTTGTAGTAATCCTCCTGTCTCAGATTCCCCAGCACTGGGATTACAGGTATGTGCCACCATGCCTGGTTTTGGTGGCTGGCATGGTGTACACAGGGTTCTGGGGCTGGCATTGCACATGGTACTGGGGATCAAACCTGGATCCTTACACTTGACAGGCAGACGATCTCCCCAGCCCAAGAAATGCAAATTAAAACCACACTGAGATCCTATATCCCCCCAGAAAGAATGTCTATCATCAAGAAGTCAACAATTACAAATGCTAGAGGGGCTATAGGGAAAAAGGAACCCTTCTCTCTCCACTGTTGGTGGGAGTGTAGGCTGACATAACCATTATGGAAATTAGTATGGAGATTCCTCAAAAAGCTAGGATTGGAGGCCCCATCCAAGCCAGCTATTCCCCTCCAAAAGAACAGAAATCATTATACCACAGCGATATATGTGCACCCATGTTTATAGCAGAACAGTTTGTCATAGTTAAATCTTGGAAACAACCCAAATGCCCATCAACTGAGGAATGGATAAAATAGATATGATATTTTTTATACAATGGAACTATAAAAAACCCCTCAGCTATAAAAATAAATTCAAGGCTTTTATAAGTAAATGGATGCAACTAGAGACCATAAGTGCAATAAATCATACCTACATGTGTAAACATGGTATTGTCTCCCTAGGGTAAGAACCTGAAAGAGTAAATAAAATCTTAAAGGTACAATAGATACTATGAAACAGAAATAAACTGCTCAAAGGGAAGGAATAACTGGGATGAGGGAAACGAGAAAAGAAAGAAGGGAAAAATATATACGTATATGCAGAGGATAGCTGGAACAACTATACTGCTGATTTCTATTGGTCTGGTGAAAGGAACAATGCTTAAAATTTTTTAAAACTTTTTTGACCAAGTTTTCATGCTTACATCTGGTAATCTGAATAATTGGAAGATAACAATATGCAGCATAATGACCATTGTTGAATTTCTAACATCTTTTTAAAAATTAAAAAAAAATATTTGATACAGGGTCTCACTCGGACTTGGACTCATAGTGATCCTCCTGTTTCAGCCTCCCCAGTGCTACTGGCTCAGCATGCTCAGGGGCGATGCCAGGGATTGAAGTTGGGTCCTTGCGCTTGTCTCAGCAGGCGCTTAGAGCCCCAAGCTATCTCCCCAGCCTCCTATCATCTTGTGTAGAGAAACTGTATCATTTCTATTTTTTCTTTTACTATTTATTTTTTTTTCTATTTATTTTCTTTTTTAAAAAATGCAAACAAAAAATCTGTTAGTGAAGAGAGAATGATGCAGATTGTGGGCGACAGGGAGGATAGGTAATAACAGCATTACAAACACGAGGGAGTTTTGACAGTATTGCAAAGGAGACATCTTTAAACACATTTAACATGTGAAACTGTACATATGCCTCTAACACCTAATTCAAATCTCTGTAGTATTTCAAAATATGCTTTGGAAGGAAGTGCCATTGGTTAATCAGGTGCTTTGTAGATGTTTTGAGTCTTGAGTTTTGAAAGGGTTTCAAGGCACATCTGCTACCCCAGGAGAAGGCACCATTACCTAAGAAATGTTTAGCAACTGCTTCTGCTAAAGGAGAAATTCTGATATTTCAAAAAAGAGAAATGAGAGATGAGCAGAGTAGAGTTCATCTTGTATACACTCATTCTTGTTTCCTAAGTCTTCCTCACCTCTATTAGGCAATAACCTTCCTCTTGCCTAAAAATCTTCTTCTATAAAAGACAAGTTTCAAAATGCAGTGGGTCCCTATCTTTTTTTTTTTTTTTTTGTCTTTTCAAGACAGGGTCTCATTATGCAGCTCAGGCTGGCCTTGAACTCACTTTGTAGCCCAGGCTGGTCTCAAACTCTCAGTGATCCTCCTGCTTCAGTTTCCTGAGGGCTGGGTTTATAGGCATGTGTCACCATGCCCAGCTCACCAGTCGTTCTCTTCTGTGGGCTTTTCCAATTATTTTTCCTCATGAACATGACATTTTGAGAGATTCAGTCTGATTAATTACATTTAGGCATAACTTCTTCAAATCTGTGAATAACACACATATGTAGTTTAATTGTGTCATGCCAGCAGGGGATTGTATTGCATTAATCAGCTGCTGTAAATTCAACTTTTGGGGAAGAAAAATTAAAAACAGAGTTTCCATAAAAAAACTATTATTGGAAAATATAATAAAAACTATTGGAAAATACTGCAGATCACATATTTTAGAACTTAATATCTGAAACAAATTGCTAGGACGTTTCTATCGTTAATATCTGTGATTAAGTGTTACAAAAGGAAGATGTATTAGTTTTATGATAGGGTTTATGTAATATATCAAGATTGAGAGTGTCAATAAATCCAAAGGCAAAATTTTTCAAAATATGTATCATTGGTGAACAGACATGGCTAGTTAGAAAAGACTAACACAGATTTCTTTCTTTGCACTAAGAAACTTATCTAAGTCTAAAGCTCAAAGATGAAACACAATTGTTGGTGTTCCTTTTCCAAAGACTGGCAGGCACAGATGCAGGCATGTACAACTAGAAGCAATATTCAGGAATTTTGAATGAATTCAGTATTTCACAAGCTCCTCACTTTTTTAGGCACATAATCTTAGGCTTAGAAAGATTTTTTTGTTGGGTGTTTTTATAGTTTTTTTCTAATCTGTACAAGAAATATTTTAAAGAAAATTACACTTGCATTTAACAAATGAGGAAATGGGGCCGGGGAGATGGCTCAGTGGAATAAGCACTTCCCTGGCAAGCGCAAGGACCTGTGTTCAATCCCCGGTTCCACAAAAAAACAAACAAACAAACAAAAAAACAAATGAGGAAATTGAGCCTGTTATGTAACTTTCCTAAAATTATATATATCTATATATTATGTATATTTAATGAGTACAAATTAGAATTGAAACAAAAATTAAAAGTGATACAAAATTTCACTTAGCAAAGTAATATGAATTTCACAGTATTTGTTGTAATAGTGTTGTCTTCGAACAAGTTATTCATATTACCAGATATATGCATGTAAAATTGAAAAAGAAAAAAAGAAATATATAAGAAATTGAGAAGAGAAAAAGTACAAACACTCGAAAAAAAGAAGTGAAACAAATTAAACAAATTAAAACATTAACTGTATCTTTCCATAGATCAGCAGGTATGTACAGTTGTCCAAACTATACTGCTTACATACATAGATAAATCTCTTTTTGCCCTGCTCCTTCTCCTCAACACAGTAACTCTTCCTTTTTTTTTTTTTTTTTTTTTTGCGGTACCAGGGATCAAACTCAGGACTTTGTGCTTGCCAGGCAAGCACTTATTCCACTGAGCTATCTCCCGGGCCCATTCTTTCATTTTGAATAAGTTCATTTCCTTTTCCCAGTATCTATTGTACCCTTCAGATTCTATTTTTCTCTTTCAGGTTTTCACACTAAGGAGACAATACGATGTTTGCACAAGTGGGTCTGATTTATTTCACTTAAGAGTATGTTCTCTGGTTGCATCTATTTACTAACAAAAGACTTAAATTTATCCTGTTTTATAGCTGAAGAATACTCCATTGTTTAAAAATACCACATCTTCTTTATCCATTCTTCAGTTGATGGACATCTGGGCTGCTTCCAGGATTTAGGTATGACAAATTGCATTGCTATAAACCTGGGTGCACATATATCGATCGCTGTGGTTATGAGGTTTTCAGTTCTTCTGGAAAAATGCCCAGAAGGCTTGAAAGGGACCTTCAATCTTTTTTTTCTTTGTGGTACCGGGGATTGAACTCAGGACCTTGCACTTGCCAGGCAAGCACTTATTCTACTGAGCTATCTCCCCAACCCAATCTTAGGTTTTTAAGGAATCTCCACACTGATTTCTATAGTGGTTGTACTACACTCCCACCAATAGTGGAGCAGGGTTTTTTCCTCCACACCTCTCCAACATTTGTTATTGGCTGACTTCTTAATGTTAGCCATTCTTTCTGGGGTGAGGTGTAATTTCAGTGTTGTTTTCCTCCTGTTTCTACCATCTGACTCCTCCCTGCCTTGTTATGGGAAGAGCCTAAATGTACAGAGGAAGCAAATGTCTCCTGCCACAGAAGCTCTGGACACTGACAGTTGATTCTTTTTGGAGCCATTTGCTCATGTTCAAGCTGGCTGAAAGAAAAGCCTGGCCAGAAATTACAGGGTGAAAATAGTTATTGTTGCAAAATAGCCAACACATTACATAAATTCTTTCTGCTAAGGATAAGAGACTTTAATTTTAATTGCAAGTTATCTGTGCAACCCTAAAATATACACTCTTTTCTGGACTTTATGTTGAAACCTAGTAAGATTCACTTACCATCAGAACTCAGTATAGGTAAAGAAATTCACTACAGGCTAGTGAATTAGGATTCTGTGTACTGGAGGAACTAACTAATGGAAATTGGTGGACATTTAACTGGAAAAGGAACAAAGATGTCATGTTTTTTTAAAATGAAAATCTATATATTTCCTGCAAATTCTTTGTGAAATATACTAAAAACTGCTTTAAAATACCAAGAGAAAAAGCCAGTGATTATAACAAAATATGTAATGATGTTAATAGAATACATGCTTGGATTTAGAGGACTCTTAACATATGTGCTTGAAAGAATCCACTATACATTTTTTAAAAAGACTTTCCAAAAGAAAACTAAACATTTATGACTGGAGTTAATTGTAGTAAGGAACTGGATGTGAATGCCTGATTGCTCTTTGTGCCTTCAAAGTTCTGCAGAAAATTTTGTCTTCTTTTGAGTCCATCCAAAATGACTGAATTATTAGATGCGAGGCTTTGTGTCCTAAAGAAATTAAAAATAACAGAATGATTGTTTTCAAATGGGACCTGGAATTTTAATCAAGGCATTAAATTTCATCTGATACTTTGAAGCAGCATATTAAATAACACTAAGGTACACTTGTCAAGTAAGTTAACCTCTAAAACTCTAAAATGCTTTTTCTAAAGACTACAGTAGTACCTCAAGTATTTGTTAGTTGCTTTCAAAGAAATTCATGTTTGACAGTTTTCTATTGAAGTGACCACTTTATCCTCTTGTAATTTGTTTTTGAGAAGTCATATGGAAGGGAAGAAAAACTACTGTATTTTTCATGTAAGCAATGTTGTTTTTCTAGGCCCTGTAAGCTATGTTCCCTATCTGACATGTATTTTATTTTTCTTTGTCTTGGGTATCGTAATTGAACTCAGGGCTTGTGTTTTCTTTTTTTTTTTTTTTTTTTTTTGGAGGGCTTGTGTTTTACATGCTGAGCTACATTCTCAGTCTTTATCTAACATATGTCTCATTTTTTCTCTCCTTCCTTCCTTCTTTCCTTCCTTCCTTCCTTCCTTCCTTCCTTCCTTCCTTTTTTCTTTCTTTCAGATAGTTTTGCTTTGTGGTTGAAGCCTCAAACTCAGTGATCCTTCTGCCTCAGCCTCCTAAATGCTGCAATTACAGACATGAACCATCATACTGTTTTTTCTGCTTGTTTGCTTGTTTTTGGTGCTAGGGATTGAGTCCAGGGTCTTGCTGTTTGTCATGAGTTCAAGGATAGCTTAAAATACATAGTGAGATCCTGTCTTAAAAAAACCCAGAACCCTCCAGGAACACCAAGCAAGTCTTTGTTGTAACAGGGCCCATGCTACAGCTTGGGGGTTAGCACACAGGGGGAAATCTTCCTAAATTGAAAAAAAAACCAAACAAAAAAACCCCCCAAAAACCTTCAATCCCCGGTTCCACAACCCCCCTCCCCTCGCCAAAAAAAAAAAAAAAAAAAAAAAAAAAAAAAAAAAAAAAAAAAAAAAACAACTCTGCCTGGGAAGTGTTGGTTATGTAACAGCTTGCAGGCCTCTCTCACTGAGGGTGAGGGCTCAAACCAGGGAATCTTCTAGAAGGCATGATGTGATGACCCTAACCTTCTCTTTATTCAAAATATGCAACAGTGTGGTTAGAGGCAGTAGGAATGGGGGAATGGTGCCTTGCCCCTGTCTGGCTGCACTCTTGTTGAGAATGGTGATTTGATAGCAAACTGAAGTGAACCATGTAGTCTACCAGGGTACAGGGGAAACAAGGAGGGAAGGCAGTGGTTGCTGACTAGTGTACCCACTTGTCCAGCAGAGGAAAGGTCAGAGTCAGATGGAGCTTTTGTCTGTCTCTTCCTATCCATTTCATCCTCCTTAATTAAGGGGAGTTGAAGGGTGAAGGTTCATCTACTGTGACTGCTTTAAAGTGGTTCTGGGGCAGCTGACCTTGCCTACAGGAGAAATAAAAATCACCAACTGATATGCAGTGTCCCAACTCTTCCTGTAGAAATACTTTTTTGTTTGTTTGAGACAGGGTCTTGCTATATAGTTCAGGCTAGCTTTAAATTAAACTCACTATGTAGTGCAGACTGGCCTCCAACTTGGAGCACTCCTCCTGCCTCAGCCTGCTGAGTTCTGGGATTATAGGTGTGTGCCACCACAACCAGTGGTACTTTTGTTTTTAGTGTTGTTTACTGAACATAGTACTTTCCACATACTCAGTATGTGCTATACCACTGAGTTATATCCTAGCCTTCAGCACTTAAATGTTCCATTTGATCATATTACTTTTATAACCTGAACATTGTTATTTAAACAAATTAGAGTAGAAAATATTGGTGGAAAGCACATCTCTTGCTTAATATGAATATAACTGAAAAGCTTCAAACCTAAATTCAGAAGTGCTTGGTTTACAGCAGTTCCTTTCTATGTTTACAAATAAGTCAAGCTTTATTGTATTAGTATTGAATCAGTAAAATTTGGTTCACATTGGAAATGGACTCTAAAAAGGAAGAAGGTAATGAATAAGGATGATCAAATCATGGTATATGGATTAAAAATACAACGCCAAAATGAGGGGCTAGGGATGTGGCTCAGGGGTAAAGCTGTTGCCTCATACACACAGAGTCCTGCATTCAATTCTCAGCACCACCAAAACAACCAACCAACCAACCAACCAAAGAAACAAAAAACCAAACCCAAAAACCTAGACTAAAAAAAGCTAAAAATGAAACTTCTGAATAATTAATAAACACAAAAAGTGGTCTGTGAGTAGAAGGAGCCTTCCATGACCTTTGACACCATTTGCAGGTGGGAGTGAAATGACACGGGGCATGGGAGGAATGGGGAAGCTTCCTGGTTCTTCAGGGTGCAAACTGAGCAGTAAAGCACATTGGTTGTGATGGTCAGTTCCCATGAGACACCAATGCTATGTCTTCCTGTTCAGGGCTTTAAAAACTCAGGCCATTGGCATGGACATGAAAGAATATAATTGATGTCAGATATAGTTTTCTTCAGGCCTCTAAAAGATGAGCTGCAGTTTTGAAGATCAAAGGGTGATGAGTGGGGCCAGAGCCCAAGACAAACTGCTCTGCTAAGGGTCAGCAATAGACTGAAGTCTCCACTCCATGGAAAAGAGACTTTTTAGTCACTCAGTCTTTCTAGCAATGATCAGAACAGGTAGCCAGAGCTCCTATCCCGGAAGGTGAACGTGCCCGGCTGGGTGAGCACCAGTCTACAGGAACTACTTTGCTGAGTTGTTTTGCAGCATCCTCAGTAGCTGTGCAGTACTACATTGTCCCTTTCAGAAGCCTCCAGATGATGGAAGCAGAAGAAGGGTGGCTTCATTGAGTGTTTTCTCAGTCTTGAAGAAATGCTCCAGTCAAGCTATCTTCCTGTCACTCCCTTGATCAATGGGTGAATGGGGAAAAGAGAAAATTGTTTGACCCCTTCTCACCCTTAATTTGAAATCAGTTTTAATGATTAAAATATTTACTCTGCCACTCTTGTCTCTCCCTGTTTATTCATCCCACTTTTCTTCTGTACGGGGAAGGAAGACACAACCACTATGATTTGATTCCCTGATTCCTCCTAATGTATATGTTTATGTATATATATATATATATATATATATATATCTACCATTGTGTATTTATGTTTATCTCAATGTTTTATAGGTGTTAATTAACATAATGCTATGCCAATAATGAGAGACTCTGTAATATTCTTGTAATATACTTTCCTTATTTATGTGATGTGAAACTTAATGGCCAGGTGGATACAAAAGAAGTGCGTAGATCTGGGATGACCACATCCCTGCTAACGTTATTCTTCAATGGGATAATACAATTAATTGAGCAGCTACCACTTAAGAAATTTCTGAGGCAGCCAGAGCCTGCATTTCTAGTTAAGATGAATCTTATATGTTTGAAGTCTGGTGAATTTTGAGGCAGGCATGGCTGGAGCGACATTGGGGTTACCTCTCTTTGATTTCTGAGTTCTAGCTACATTGTTATCTTGATGTCTCCCTCAGCCGTCTACCTAACCAACCACGGGCAATTCCCGCCTCATCCATTATGGGGACCCAGGTGAAGGGCGCAGCGGGGCTCTGCTGCCTTCCCTCTGAAGGATTGTCTGGCACTGGTACCTGCCGCTTCTTCAGGGCTGTCATTCCTGCTGAGATGAAAGTGTCTTTAAAAATGGTCTCTGTGGCAGTTTACTGGGGATAATGTACAGCTCTCCTAGCCATCCATTCTTTTTCATTTCGTGTTCTCCCTCCAGGAACTCCCAATGGCATCCATGGAGGGCTGGAGGCATGAGGCGCTCTTTCATTGAGCAAATCTGTTCACACAAAGGGTTCATGATGTATCTCATGATGCCCGGTTTTGGAGTAGTTTGTAACTTTTATTAGTCTCAACTGTATTGCGTCATCACTGGATGCTGATTTTTGACCTTTTGTTTTATTAAAGATAATTAGTGAAAGAAAACAAAAACAAAACAAAAAAAAGTGGTCTCTGCTCCTATCTGAGGTCTCATTGTAGCTTCATAGAATTTAGTCACTAGAGGTTGGTAGGATTGCATCATTATAATAGTTTATAAAGGAAGTCGCTCACTGGGCACCCAGTAAGCCCTTGATTATCTTTTTTTAAATGCATTTGGTACAGGGTCTCACTATGCAGCCTGGACTTGTAGTGATTCTCCTGTTTTCAGCCTCCCTAGCATTGGGATTACAGGTGTGCATCACCACAGTGGCTCAGCGTGCCTTGGGGCGGGCCTGGTGTGGCATGTGGTGCTGGTGATTGAACCCAGATCCCTGCACTTGCCTGTGCAGGTGGTTGGTCCAGGGAGCTATCTCACAGACCCAAGCCCTTGATTTTAATAACTCCGGTGGGGGAGTGACTAAGCAAACACCTTGATATGCACTTACCGTGGAGAATCTATCCCACTGTCTCCTGCCATGCTATAATTTTCTGTTCCTTCCAAGTGTCTGTGTTCATGCTGGATATCCTGAGCCAACCCTGGCATATGTGAAGTCCTTAAAGGTTCTAATTTTTGTGTGAAATGTTTTATTTCCTGATTTTGAGGACTCTGATTCCAGCTATTTGGTTTCTTTCCTGTGTTACCAACAGAAGGTTGAGAAACTTCAGCCTCAGGATTGGGTTTTCTTGTACTACAGTAATCAAATAGACTTCCATCAGCAGATGCTAAAGCCTGGGCACATGTAGCAACACTTGGTTCTTCATAGTTATAACAAAACTGGACCCCTGAATTTAGGCCACAGCTTTCAGCAGAGAGCTTAGGTACTTGGCTTTCATCTGGGTTTGTAAGCAGCATTCTGGGCCTGTAATGTTGATTTTTTTTAAGCACTGGTGGCAAAAACCAGTCCATTTTGCTGCTACACTCAGTCTGAAATTCTTCCATCACTTTTGGTTTTCCTGAGTGATTACAATTGCTTCCACCTGCAAAGGAATTCTGACTATGGCTAGGCCACATTAGATGGTCATCATTTTCAGAAAAGTCATCTTCTTCTAAATACAATGAACTGCTGGCCCCGTCACCATCCACCTCTTCCTCTGGATACAAAACCTGGTCATCATCTGAAAGCCCTTCATTTTCCAGATGTACAGTCTCTGTCTCCTGGACAAATGTCTTTCTCATTAATTCTTTTGAATTTCTGTCTTGCCTTTCAGATTGTCTCAAATGGTCCACACCAACAGGATGATCTAACAGACCAAGGTTTTCAAACTGGTATGTTGTTTTATCAACTAATCTACAAGCAGAGGATGGCTCCAAAGAGGAGCAACTGTGCAATGGCAGCATTTGCTGTGTTTCTTTGGCCTCCTCTAGTTTGTCAAAGTGAGGGGGACTTTTATTTGTGACTTCATGGATTACCTTGTTTTCAGCACCATACCCATCACATCTCAACATGCTTCCCCTAAAGGAAAAGCATTGACTGTTACTTTGCAAATCATTACCTTGAGGGTAACCTAAAGGGCCACCTGTGAAGTCATCCCTGACAGGCTGGATAGTAGAATTGGTCATATAAATGGGTTCTGTTTTCAGCTTGTGACATTGCTCAGCATATGGCTGTTGGGCTTCACTATTGAAAAGTCTTAGGGACTCTGAAGACCTTGACCTTTGGAAAGGCTTTTTCTTTGGTGCAGTCTGATTGGGTGTCATATGGCTTCTCTTCTGAGTGCTGTGCCCTTTGGTTACTGGGCCCCCTCGGAGAGACAAGCCCTGGAAAGGATTACTGATTCGCTTCTTGTAAATCAGTTGTGAGCCTAGAACTCTTGGATTCTCATGAAGCCCTGTATGAATTTCTGTTTCATTGCCACTCCTAACTTGAAGGGTGAGCTGGGTAGCAGAGAGTGAGGGGGGCTTCTCTGGCATAAGGCTTCCTGGCTGAAAGTCACTTCCCTGACTCCGGGGTTTGAGTCTTTCCCTGTGAGAAAGGCTCAACCTGCAAGACTTAGCTGACCTACTTTGCCTTTTCTTAACTCCCTCTTTGAACGGATTCTTAGGCCTGACTGTCAGTGTATCAGTGGATGTGCCCTGACTATGATATTTCTTCTGTTCTGCATGTTTTTGCATGAGGACAGTATGTTTGATTAGATTGTCAACAGTCAGAGTAGGGTTAATTCTTTTGATGATCTCATGCTCAACGTCTCGGGGGATATTGTTTAAGTTATCTTCATCTCGGACAGGCCATTCTTCAGGTGGAAACTGGGCAGAGAAACTGCTATGCTCTGTTCTTAGCTTCTCCTTTCTAGAAATGCTGCGCCACAGGAGGCTAAAACCAAACTTTTTGCCTTTTTCTTTGTCTTTTGTGTATGGTAAAGCTTTGGGACTCTCACAGAAGTGATTCTCCTCAGATGCTGAAACTGCCAGACTCTGAACCAGAGGTGTGGGCTCCTCAGGCCCTTCCTGGACTTGGCTAGTCATTTCTGCAGCAGATGGTGGCTCCTCCACATCCTGAAGGCACACGCCAGGGAAACAGCGGCAAGACTGACAATGGGAAATGGGGACAGAGCTTTCTTTGGCCGGCTCTGTACAGCTCTCCATGCTCACAAGATAGGTCACAGATGTGGCCCCCGGGGGACTTCCATCTGACAGAAGGACTCTCTTCTTTTCCTGGGCAGTTGTATTTGTGATGAAGTAAGTCTGAGGTGTAACTATAAAGTATCCTTCTCCAGTGTGATAAATCTTCCTTTCTTTAATCAGAGTTCCCAGAGTGGTATAGAGAATATCGTGAGAAGGAAGTGCAATGCCTAAAACAAACAAGCATTTTACTCTGATAGACTGAACAAGAAACATTTGAAGGAGTGAAATCAGTAACTCAGAAATATCTAGGTATGGTCATACATGCTGATAATCCAATCCTAGCACGGGGGAGGTTGGGCAGGAGGATCACCATGAGTTCAAGAGATCTTGTTTCAAAAGAGAGAGAAGAGAGAGTGGAGAGAGAGAGAGAGA